TGCCTCTGTGGGTTAGAGTTTACATCAAATTTGGAAATGCCTTAGCCATTATTTTTCTAACACTTTTTCTGAACCCCTGCCCCCAGTATCTCCTCCTCTTTTGGGGGGGCTCCTGTTAAACATACGTTGGGCTGTTCCCACAGACACTGATGGTTGATTGTTCAGTCTCTGTTCCCTGTTTCTCTCCGGACAATTTCGGCTGTTTCCCCCCATTCATGTCTCATCTGCTGTTGACCCACTTGGCGCATTTTCCATCTCACACGCTGGAGTTCACAGCCTTACAGACTCCACCTGGGGTGCTGCTGTGACTCCCGTCTCCGTGTAACTTTCAGGCCCCATGGGAAGCAGTTATGAGGTTGTGCTCATGCCCTGGGGCAGGACTGGCTCAGTTCCAGACGACCGACCACTTGTCACACGCGTCTTACTTTCCTGTGTCTTGGCACCCTGATAGTTCTCGGTGGATGCCAGGAATCCTTACATTTACCTTTGGGGATGCTGAATTTTTCTCTATTCTTATCAATGTTCTTGAAATGTATTCAGAGATGCAATTATTTTAGAAGTTTGATCTCTGCGCCTTGGCTGGGGCTCATGACCAGCCTTGAGCCCACCTCCTTCCCCTGTGGCCTCACCCAGTGCCCCCGGAGGCGGAGCCTTCTGCTCAGCGGCCACAGGCATACCCTGTAACCGTGGGCGCATCCCCGGGCAGGGTTGTGGCTCCCGTCCAGCCTCACGGCTCTCCCCACCTGCGCGCTGACTGGACCCAGCTGTACGCTCGCGGGGCTGTGGGGCTTCTGCAGATCTCTGGGTCCTGTCCTCTTTTGGACTCTGTTCCGTGAGTTCTCTCTCCCGGAGAGACAGAGAGAGTCTCTCAACTCTGTTTGCTCGCCCGGGGCGACCGCCAGGCTCTGCCTGGGTCCCCTCCCCGCACAGCACTCGGTCACTACCCAGGCGATTGGTGGGGATCCTGCCCCTCAGGGTCCTGGGCTCTGCTGCCTGATGCCCAGCGTTTTGCAAGCCTTGCTCCACGTGAGAGCACACCTAATTCCTGTCACTTCACCTCAACACAAAAATGTGTTCTGTGACAATCTGACGTGTTCGATGCTGCTGCCCAAAGTTGGAAATGCAGTTGCGGGAGCAGAGTGGATGGACCTGGGAAGGCTCAGCTGCTGAGTCACCAGATGGTGGAGAGGCACGTGAGGAACCCCGCCCTGCGAGTGGCAGGGAGGTGATGACCATTCTTGAGGGGACAGCTGTGTTCAGAACTGAGGGCACAGCAGCCACAGTCTTGCACAGACTGTGGAACCTGCACGGGGATTGCTGTGTCCACGGAACACTCGCTTAGATTAATTTGGGGAAGATCTGGACTGTACTAGGGGATGGTTTTATGACCAAGTAGGAGCTGCCCCTGATGCCAGCGTCCTGGGATCCTGCGGCCCCTCTTGGTCCTGGAATCTGTGAAGCCACAGCTGCTGCCACCAGCGTCTTCTCGAAGGTTTTCACACGTGCAGGGAAGGAGCTCCCCAACAGGCTTTGACCTCCACGGTGGCGAACGGGCTGTTTTCTTCACTTGCTCGTGCACCCCTATGACCTCCCAGAGGGGCCTGACAGAAAGCTGCCTCCTTCACACAGGCACCTCAGTACACCCATTATAGCTGCCTCTCACGGTGACTTGGGGGGCAGGATCGTCCTGCGGGGGCCTGCCCTTGTTTGATCTGGGCGCATTCGGTGCCGGAACGTCCGCCCGCAGGACGGGAGAAAGAAGAGAAGGCAGGCACAGGTGGACATACAGAGCACAGCACACGGCCACATGTAGCCAGTTTCAGTGACCACACGCCCCCAGGAAGACCCCAGCATCTGTCACCGCCCATGTGGCCCATCGCTGGGTTAGCTCTGTAGGCTAGTGCAGGGGTGGGGGGTGGGGAGTTCAGACTCAAGGAACCCCAGCCCAAGGTGACGTGGCGTGCCTTCACCCCTGCTTGGTGGGCTGGTGCCTCTGGAGTTTTCTTACAAGCAAAATCAGTGACAGACCTCAAGTCCTAAAAATCTTATTTGAATAAAATCTCATTTGAATAAAAATTAGGGAATAAATAAGACTTCACCCCCAGTTTAACGATCGTAAGGATAAATTCCCAAGCCAAAACAAGTTTCTGAGGTAAGCTTCACACACCGGCTGTGGGTACCTGCCCGATATCACTGGGCACCCCTGGGTGAGCTCCTCCGTCCCAAGAGCGGCTGACAGCGGGACAGCTGTTGGGACTGTGTGCACTTGGGGCTGCCGGAAGGCCCTGAGCCCTGCTGGACACTGCACTGTTGCCCTCCTGGGAGCCTTACTAATTTTTGTACGAGGGCCCGAATTTGAATTTTGACAGGGTCCCATACGTGCAGCCAGGCCTGACCGGGACGCCTGTCCCCAGCATGTGAGCAGAGCCTGACGCAACTGACACTGGAGGGGCCGCCCGTCTGAGGAAGACTCCCCGCCCAAGCGGGGCCCATTGGGCAGCCCCAAGACGCCCAGAACTGGCCAGGGGTCGTCCCCCAGCCCCTGGGTGCCAGCTGCCTCAGCCATGCAGGGTCATTTTGGCTCCATTTGGTCTCATTTGGGTTAAGGGCCATTCCCCACGGTTGAGCGGCGTAAACGGGAAGGCCCGGCAAAGCTCGTCTGTGGGGAGACCGCACGCGCTCTGAGTGGGGCCAGGGAGCCGGCGGTGAGGGAGAGCTCCCAAGCGCTCGGCGGCCTGCGGGGCGGGGGAGACGCACGGCATCCCAGTCGTGGTTTGGGGGTCCAGGAGTTCCCCCCATTGCTACCTGAGTGCAGCCTTCACTCCACGCACGGACTTCTCACAGCAGGGAGACTGTGGGGATGGGATTCGGACAGCCTGCGGTCAAGGACACATTTTCACCAAGAGGATGTGCTCGGGTTCCAGAAATAAGGACACTGTGATGTCCCTCTCCCTGCACACAGCGGCCCTCGACCTCCTTCAGGGGCAGAGACCCAGGACCTAGAGCCCATGACAGCCAGATGGGACTGTGGTGGCTGAGGCACGGAGACATCAGCCCAGCAGAACCCATGCCAGCCCAGCCTGCCCACGTGGGGGCAGCGGTCCCGTCCTTCGTTCTCCTGACTGCATGCCGCGAAAATTCCCTGGGGATCCAGGACAACTGGTCTCCCAATGACCTGCTGTGGCTGCTGGGCCACCCCTAGGAGAGCTAGGAAGAGCCCCTGTGCTGGGGGGAGGCCGCCCCCGCAAATCACGGCCCCTTGAAACTCAGATCTCCCCCAGAGAGAGGAAGGGCCTGTGCGGATACATTTAGAGAGCACGCGGGGGTATCCAGGTGGGCCCTAAGCCAGTGAGCCATGAAGGAGGAGGCCGTGCGAAGACAGAGGCCAAGCCTGGAGGCCAGGAGCCCCAGCCACTGCAGGAAACAGGACGGCCTTGCCCCCTTCCGCAGGCGGTACAGCTCTGCCCACACCTGGACTTTGGACTTCTGGCCCCAGAATGGAGAGAATTTCGGCTGCCAGTGTGTGGCCCTTTGTTCCAGCAGCCTCGGGGACAAGCACAGTACCCCACGAATGCATATGACTCCGGGCTGCGGACTATGCCTTTGCGGCCACCACACAGGTGCGCGAACGCTTTCCTGCCAACTGAGAGTCGGGTTTTAACAACTGGAGGGCAGACGGAGGCTGCCCGAGTCACTGGTGGGCCGGAGCCCAGGGCAGCAGCATCCCCGACAAAGGGCGCACTGGCCCAGCAGCCACGGCTGGAGGAGGGGCCTGGGGACCCTTGGACCAGGGTGCAAGTCTACGCGGTGGGGAGCTCCGACTTGTGAAGACCTTCTCTGCCGCTCCGGTCAGTGATTTTTTCAGTGTGCGCTGCACGGGTTTCAGAGAGCAGCACACCTGTGAGCTCAAAAAAATTTCATTTGCGGACAGCCAGTAAAAGTCCAGGAATGGGACAGACCGCAAGCCCAGCTCCGGCCACGGACTGGCCCAGAAACAGGGTGCCAGGCCAGCCTGCGATGTAGGGGCAGGGCTGTGGCTCTGTCCGGCTGCTCTTGGGGGTTCCCCAGTGCTCTGCCCATCACCCCACATTTTGCCTTTCCACCCCAAAGAACATGAACCTTCAGCATTTTTGCTCCTAAGGCCTGAAGCTCACCTCCACTGGCCAGCTGCACTGTGTTTGTGTTGGCGTGGGTGCTGGGTTCGCACAGTGGACTCAGCAGGCGCTGGTAGCTAACATGACAATCGTGGGACCGTGCCGCTTTTCCCTCCTTCCCTTGCACTTTGAGTTACGACAGCCCGGGGAAGGCAGTGCTGAGGGCTGAGTGGGACACAGACGTGTGGCCAGCCCAGCCTGAACGGACAGAGCCCCGAGTCTTGGGAAGCAGACCCCTGGACAGACCTGTCTTCCAGCAGTTTGGAGCAGTAGAAACCAGAGGGATTGAGAGGAGGCATGTGGGACTCAGGACATTTGTGGGGATGGGATGGGGCTGGGCCACCAAGGGCTGCCTGTCCCTAGCTCTCAGTGTCCCCCCACCCGATGGGCCAATGGTCTGCTGGAGAGCCAGCCCCAGCACCCCTTCTCTGCAGCCATGGGACCCCTTCTCCCGTGCCGCGCTGCAGTCTGCTCTGCTGTCTTGGCGGGCGCTGTGTGTGACCTGGCTGGAACGGGAGCTGCAACCCAGAGCTGCACTCCTACGGGCTCCGAAGCCCCATCTGAGAGCCAGGCAGAGCCTGTGGGGCGGGGCGGGGGGTGTGCCTGTGGAGTGTGGAGGGGTCTCTGTAGCTGGGAGAGGGAGGGCCTAGCCCGGAATGGGTGCCAGCGAGGGTGGGGTCTGCCGTCAGGAGGAGGGGGCAGACGCTGGGGCAGTGGTCCCTTGGACAGGTCCGAGGGAAGCTCAGCAGTGAAGCTGGAAGTGACCTTAAAGTCACCCCCCACGCCCAGGCTGGGCTTCTGCGCTAGAGGGGGTCCCCCAGGGCACAGACAGGGACACCCCTGCCGTCACTGGACGGAGCCTGCCTGGCCGGGAAGGAGCGCAGGTGTCGGCTGGGAAAGAGAAAGAGAAACTGGAAGAGGATTTCAGGATGGCCGCTGCCCCGAGCTCACCAGCCGAGGCCCACCGCGAGCCGAGGAGCACGAGGCCTCAAGGCCTGGCTGGGGACGCAGCCGCGACTCGTGCTCGGGGAAGGCGGCTCGGTGGCGCCCGGTGACCAGCGCCGGGTGCTCGGCACCGCCCGACCCCACCCAGGAGCGGGCCGCACGTTGCCGCTTCCCCCAAGCCCCAGGGCGTGGCCCACTGCGCGCCCCGACCTGAGCGCGGTGGGCAAGGTCCCAGCACCGCGCCCGCCCCCCGGCCCGAGAGTCCCCGCGGAGACGCCCGCGTCCGCAGCCCCACCCGCAGGCCGGTCCACGCGCGAGCGGCGGGCCGCGGGAGTGAGGGCCGGCCTCCGGGCTTCCGGGAGGGGCAGGGGCTGCCGCCCCCGGCCCCCCGCCCCCAGCCCGCCTCCCCCACGGGGTTCCCACGCCCCTGCGCCGCGCGGGCCTTGTAAGGCAGAGGCGGCGCGCGAACCGGCCTCCGCGCACTCTGCGCGCTCCCCGGGACGGGCGGGGCCGGGCAGGGCTGGGCGGGGGCGGGGCGGGAGCCCGAGGGGCCGAGGCGGGCCAATGAGCGTGCGGGGAGGGCCGGGCTGGGGGCGGGCCGATGAGCGCGCGGGGCGGGGAGGGGGCGGGGCGTCGGGGGCGTCGGGGCGGGGCTGGCGGGCCCGGGGCTGCGGGGGCGCGGGCACACGCCGGACACCCGGTCGCGCGCGGCCGAGTCGCGAGGCGCCCGCTGCAGTGGCCGCGTCTCCGAGGTAAGGGTCCGCTGGGCTCGGTCCGGGGCGCCGGGCGCAGGACACCCCCTCCCCCGCCGCGCCTGCCACCTGCGCCCGCCGCGCCTCCTCCCGGCTGCGGCCCGGGTGAGTCCGTGCGACCCCGGCCCTGGGCTTCCCCGCGGTGCGCGTGCGCCCGGGGTTGGCGGCGGGGGCGTGGGTCTGGGGGCGCGGAGGGCGCGGGCGGCGGGCGCAGGTGCTGCGGCCTCCCCCGGCGTCGGGCTCGCGCGGCGAAGACGCCCCTCGCAGCCCCTTTCCCCGCCGCCGCCCGAGCCCTCCGCGTCCGGCTTCGGGGACCGCGTCTGCCGCTGCCCAGGCCCGGGGTCTGCCGGCCGCGACAGGGCGGGGACTCGGGGCTGAGAGGTGTGAGGGGCCACCGTCTTGCGGCGCGAATTCGGGGAGACCCGGGCCCGTCGTTGGGTCCGCCGCCGGCGGGGTCCGCGCCCCGATCCGCGCCCCCGTCCGCGCCGCAGGTGAGCGCGTCCGGCCTGCGCTGCGCAAACGCGGACGCTTCGCGGAGGGGCTCCCGGCGCGGGCACGACCGACCGAGGCCTCCGCGGCGCTGGGGAGCGGGGCCGGCCTCCGGGGGAAGGCGGAGAAGCCCTTGATCCTGCGGCTTCACTGCCGCAAACGTAGCCCCGAAATGGGGGTGGGGGAGGGCGCAGGAAAATCCGTGCCGCACACCCCGGTCGTGCGCATTTTGACAGGCGTTTTGCGTCTGCGGCCGTCGGGCACCTTTCTGGGCCAGCTGGCCCTGCCGTCGCCCGTCTGTGCGCTCATGCGCTCGATCACCTGGCGGGAACAGGACCCGGCTCGCGGTCACACTCTGCAGCCTCCCCGCGCGCCCCTCGGCCAAGCTCTCAGGGAGGACCCCGCGGGTGCGGTGGGGGCGCCTCTGTACCAGCCAGGCCAGCCCCCGGTTCCTGGGAGGTGATTGGTAAAGGCTGACCCGAATCCCGAGAGCAGGGACCACAGGGGATGGAGTGATGGGGGGGGGGGGGGGGGGGGTGGGGGGGGGGGGGGGGGGGGGGGGGCCGGGCGCGGCCAGCGGGGGGGGGGGGGGGGGGGCGTTAGACTGTATTCCATGACCCCGGCTCTGGGCTCTGGTACCAGCCGCTGCTCCCATCACATGGTCCAAATCACACGGCTCCCTGAGGGGTGCCGGGGTGGGGGGCAGGGCGCTGCTGAATTTCCTGGGCGCGTCTGCTGAAAGCAGAGGGTCTGTGTGCGCTCCTGGGGAAAGGCCCTGTGGCTCTGGTGATTGCCAGGGGGCTCCCTGACTCGGGTACCACTGCGTAGAATGGCTCTGCGTGGGCCGGAGGAGCGAAGCGATGGACATCAGAGGAAGCGGCGCTGGCCATGTTCTCATCTTCCTGGAAGCTTCCAACGTGCAGTAAATAACTTGTCGCCGCATACGAGGTTATAATTCTCATGGTGGATAATGGGCAGATCACGGGAGAATTTCTTAGGAAACTGAAATCATTCATCACTGCTGCCATGTAAGCGGAGGCTTTTAGCAGCCAGACTGTCCTCAGGGCGGCGGAGCGCTGTGGGCAGGAGAGGCTGAGAATTAAAAGCTTCCTCTGGGAGAGGCAGTGCTGCCTGGGAGCCAGACCTATTTATAGCCAGTGATGTGGCCAGGGAGGCAGGAGGAGCACGCGGGAGGTGCCATCTGGGGATCCTGGGGCCGTGGGGCAGGGGGCCTCCTGCACCTTGAAGTGTCAGGTCCTCCTCGGCCCAGCCTGGCGCCCCGGTCTGGCACTGAGTGCCGCGTCCACCGGAGCCACCAACCCAGGGGCTGGCAGAATAGGGAAGGGCAGCTCCCCGTGGGAGCCGAGCTGCTGTCTCCAGGGCTCATCCGACCCAAGTCAGTCTGGTTACAGGTGCCAGTTGCCAACCCCCCCCGAGCAAGGGACCCTGCGGCGGCTCCCGTGGGTTGTGAGTTGCCGTCCAAACAGGACCCTCTTCGCTGAAGAGAGGAGGGTCTTCCACAGAGTGTGAAAAGTGACAGTTTCTGACTCGTCTTCCCGGCCCTCGTCCAGAGCCTGCGCCTCTCCTCCCAGGAGCACTTTCCTGCCGCCTTCCTCTTTTTTTTTAATTAGGTTTATGGCAAGGAAAGACAGGTTTTTACCTTTTTCAAGCCTAGACATTAAAACCACTTGGAGCCTTTTCCTCTTCTCCTCCTGCTTCTGTGGTGCGGCACTCTCACGTGTCCCCAGCATGTTTCTGTATATTCCCACATGTCCCCCATGTGTCCCTTGTATGTCCCCAGCATGTCCTGATATGTCTCCCATATGTTCCTGGCATGTCCATAGTGGGTCCCCATGTGTCCTCATGTGTCCCCAGCGTGTCCCTATCATGTGTCCAGTATGTCCTATGTGTTGGTGCATGTCCCCAGCGTGTTGCCAGTGTGCCTGTGTCTCTGATTTTTGGCATAAGTGCTGCGCTCCCTGCAGGCTCTGGGTGAGTTCCTGCCCTGGGCCACGCTTCCCCAGACCCCGTCCTGTCACACCCACGTGACTGCACGGCTGCGGAGCACCTGGCCGGTGTCAGGGGAGCAGACGCTGCCTCCGCTTGGGGAACTCTGCAATGGGGAGGCCACACAGCCTCCAGCGCCCTCCAATGACCCCGCGGCGGCCTCATGCGCCCCAGTGTCCCATCTGCATCTGGGACGGGTCAGCTGGGCGGGCAGGTTTTGGGCGTGGTGTGTGGGTGTGGCCCCTGAGTCGATATGACGTGGGCGCTCCTCCAGGCTGACCCTGTGGCCCTGGATCCGAGCTGTCTGTGCGAAGCCCGTTCACGTCCCCTTCTCGGTGCAGGTGTACATGCTGCTGAGTGCGTGTGCTTCGAGGCTCACACTGACCCTCAGCCCCGCTCTAGGCATTTAATGCCGGACAACGGACTGTCCCCAAACCAGGGGGCTAAGACAGGGACGATGTTTGCTTTGCCACCAGATCTGCCACCCTGCAGGACTTGGTGTGGACGGTGGCCTCCGTTCCCTGATGGTGGCTGGGGTCTGCTGTCCGGGCAGGACCACCAGTGCCAGGCTGCCCGTCTCTGTATGGGATCTTTCCAGAAGGTTCACCTGCCTCAAGAGAGAAGCAGGGAAGCCAAGTCTCCATCGTGGGGCTGTGTGCTGTGGTGCCGGCAGCTAGGGACGTGCCCCTGGCTCGAGGCGGGGGGCTCGGGGGTGGGAGATGATTTCTTGGTGCTTGAGACCGGCTGTGCCGTCCCTGCTTCCGACCCTGTGCCTCTCGGCCTTGGGTGCTGCTGTGGCCTGTGGCCTGTGGTGGGCGTCCGCTGGCCCCTGGCTGGCCTGCTCTTCCCAGGGCTTTCCTTCCTTGGCAGCAACCCCGCGGGAAGGGCCTGACTGGGGGGCCTGGCCCGTGTCTTTTCCTTACTGAGCTGGGGGGTCCTTCAGAGTTTCGGGAGACAGGCCTGGGCTGGCTACATCTGACCGGCCTCCGCTCTGGCCTCCGCTCCGGCCCTGCGTTATTTCTCCCCCCGTGATGTTTGCGGATGAGCGGAAGTTCTTGGTCTCAAGCTGGTGGCGTTCTCGAGGGCAGGGACCTCCGAGTGGCCGCTGACGGACCTTCCCGTGCCCCGAGGCCGTCCGATGCCCTGGCGCGTCGGCCTCTGAACGCGTCAGCCCTTCACGCCCCTCACTGGCCCGACGCCGGCCTGGGGTCCCGCTTGGCCACCTGGGCCGGCCTGTGTGCGCTGGCCCCATCCCGTCGGCGAGTCCCCGCCCCGCCCCGGAGGACGCCGACCTCGTTCCCAGAGCTTTCCCTCCCGTCTCACCGCCTGCGGAGCCCCTCTCGTTCTTGCCTCACGACCCGTGTGTCTCCAGCCCTTCGCCTGGAGGCCCTGGCGGGAGCATCGTGCGATCTCGCGTCTGGGTTGAGTGAAAACGGTGGCCGAGCTTAGCGACGGGGACGTCTTTCTGTCATTGGGTTCCGGGCCCCGTTTCAAAGCCGCCGCTCGGACCCTCGGCTCCGCCCGGCCACAGCATGTCCCGCGACGTCCTGCGCGTCCTGTAGGACCCGGTGCTCCTTCGCGGTATTTTAACCGGCTCGTTATCGGACGCGCTGCACGGCCCGTCTGCGCGGCCACGCGGAGGGCAGCGGACCCCGTGCGCCCTCCCGTGCGTCCGGAAGCTGCGGCGGCCTGGCCTGTCCTGTCCCGGCGCGGGGAGGCCGCTTCCTTTCCTCCTGGCGTTTCCCGGACGCAGACGCGGCCCAGCTCCGACCCGAGAGAAGCTCGCAGGCGCTCCTCCGAGAGCCCGCATCCAGCCGCCCGCAGGCACCCCTTCCCGCACACGGACGCCACTGCCTCCTCCGCTGGCGGAGGACCTGCGCCTCGAGCCCGCGCTGAGGCCACCGGGGCCGCCCGGCCTGCACTCCCGTGCGCGGCGGGTCCTCCCCGGAGCTGGTCTCGAGGACCCGCTCGGCTGTGGAGCGCGGACCCTTCTGACGGCTGAGCGCATTCCTTGGCTACTTTGGTTACTGTTTCGTTCAGGATCTTGAAGAGAAGTTTTTATATCTGCGGCTTCGTGGATGTGCCTCGGTGTGAGCGGACTCCGGCCCCCGGCCCCTCCGGCCGGTCTGCCTTGTCCCTGCAGGAGGGCTGTGCAGGCCGGGCCCCGCGGCGCTGTAAGCCTCCCCTAAACCCACAGGCTTGGGGGCCACCACCTCCCCCTCTGCCCAGAGTCCTCCAGCTTGGGGCTGAGATGGGCCTCTCAGCAGGCCGGCGTCCGATGGCCGTTCCCCACTGGGGGCCCAGCCTCTGGGGGCCCTGGAGCCGGCCACCAGCGCTGGCCCTTCTCCTCCAGGGTGGCTGTCTGTGAGGGCTGCTTCTTCCGCTCCGGCGGGCCGTGTGAGGGCCCTGGGGCAGCTGTGACACACACATGTATCCTGGCTCAGTTCTGGGGCCAGAAGCCTGAGATCCAGGTGGGCAGGGCCATGCTCCGTCCAGAGGGTCGAGGGAAGGGTCCTTCTCTCCTCTTCTGCCCCCCACCCCCACCCCGGGGCCCAGAGGTCTGTCCCTGGGCCTGTGGCTCAGCCATCGCGAGGACTCGTGTCTGTCTCTCCTCCTTCTCCAAGAACATGTGTTGCTGGATTCAGGGCCCCCCAGGGACTCCAGACCCCGACTGGAGGTCTCTGGCCTCCTGACCCCTGCAAACAGGGTCACCCTCACAGGCTCTGGGGGGGTGGACATGCCTTTCGGGGCTCACCACTCACCCCACCACGCTTGCCCTCTGCGTAGGGAGCGTACCTGGCATCCGGGTCCCACAGGCGCTGGCCGGGTGGGGTGCTGAGGGACGGACAGAGGCCTCAGCGGCCAGAAGTGCCCTCCCTCCTGCCAGGTAGGCCCGTCTAGAGGTTCAATCCAAGCGCCGAGGCCAGCGTGTGCAGCGTGGGTAGCGTGGCCCGTGTGCTCGGTTCTGGCGTGGCCTTGTGCCGGGTGCCTTGTTGTGGGAGCGTCGTAGGAGAGCTTTTCGGGGAAGTGCAGCAAGACGGTGAGCCTGGGAATCGGGTCGGTTCTCATGCTGGTCTGGGCAGTGGTCTGGGGTGGCTCTGGGGACCTCACTGCCGCGAACCGGTGGGCCGTGGGCCCAGCCTGCCGCTCGCTGTCTTTGGTTCTGAGGCCCTGTCTCGGGAATGGGGTGTGCTGCGGCGCCCCTCCAACCGCGTCTCCCCTGGGGGCTCTCTCTTCGCCCCCACATGCTTCGTTGTCTCGACCCACACACAGATGTGCTCTGTGCACACTCCTGGGCACTGGTGTTCTCGGATCCCCTGGAAAACTTGTTGAGGGAAATGGGGGCTCTGCCTGAGCAGGTCCCCCCCAAATCCCTGACTTTACGGTGGCCAGAGAATGTCCTGCTATCATGGGGAAGGGAAAGGCGACCCAGGAGCCCTTGTGGCTGGGTGGATGGGGGTGAAATGCCCTTGCCCCACAGCAGCTCTGGCCTTCCTCAGTTTCCCCTACTGGAAAGGTACCTGTCCCCCGAGGCTGTCTTTTGGAGAGTGCACCTCCTGTCCTGGGCCCCCGTCCCAGTTGCCTGGCCCCTTGTGCTGGTCGTCCCACAGCCTGTCCCCGCCGCCCCAGCTGGACAGCAGCTCCACAGGTCCAAGATGGGGGTCCCCCAGTGACCTCGCTGCAGGACGGTCAGGAGGGGCCCCTGGCCCCAGATGTTGGGCTTGCGGCGCCTGACTCCTGGTCTTTGGACGGGGAGCGGCAGGGCGTGGGCTTTACTCCTTGGGGCAGCCATGGCCTGCGGCTCTCGGGGATGCCTGGCTTCGGGGCCTGTGTGGACCAGTGGCCTGAGGTCATGGGCCCCGGGGCCTACGTATGTCCTGCTCACACAGCCCTGGGTGGGGTCGGCTCCTGCACTGGGGCTGACAGGGGCCGTGCCGGGGTCTCAGGACTACTCTGCACACAGTGGGATTCCTGTCTGTCCCGGGTGGCCGGCGGGGGTGGCCGGCGGGCTGTGCAGCTCAGAAAGGCCGCTTTGTCGGCCCCGGGAAGGCTCTCACTGCCTGGCACCGCCCTCAGCTGGGACGAGTGGTCATTCACATCGAGTGTCCAAGGCAGCCACGGAGCAGGCAACCACGTTATGAAAGAAAGTGTGCACACTTGCCAGAGGGCCGTGTTGTGCGCAAGGGCCCTCAGAGATGGGGCCGCAGACGCGGCGCGGGGATGGGACCAGGCCTTGCTGGCCTCATTCCCCTCAGGGCAGCAGCGCTGGGGGAGATAGAGCTCGAGACCCTGACGCTGGGGCCTGGGCACTGGTGAAAGGCAGTGGAGCAGGGAGGCGAGCCCCGTGGAACGTTCTGGAGCGCGCGGTTCCGGGAGCCTTGGTGCCCCGCCCGCCAGCATCACACGCAGCCTGCCGGGGAAGCGTCGAGGAGCAGGGAGGACACTCTCCTCCCCTCCAGGTCTCATTCTTGTCCGTCTGTGCGCTTTGTTCACAGCCTCGGGGACAACCCAGAGCATCTGGCGGCGTCCAGTAAGGGGCCTCCAGCAGCCAGAGCCTCCTCACGGGTGCCCTCCACTCTGCCCATCCCCAGGCGCATGCCTGTGCTGCTCCGGACCATCCGGTCCGCAGGGATGCGCGTTCCCGGGGCCTTCGAGGTTTCTCGCACAGAGACGGGATCTCGGTCAGGACCCTGGGCCTCGGGGTCCTGTCAGCAGTCCCTGCAGTACTCTGGGGCTTCTGCACCCACTGCTCCCCCGGGCCAGGCCCTGGTGTGAAGATTGGGCAGCATGGAGGGGATGGACCCCAGGGGCCTGAAGACCAGGGACCCTGAGCAGGAGCTCAGGGAGACCCCGAGTGACTTCCAGAAGCTTCCTTCCGATGCTCCCCGCCCTGGGAGTCCCTTCCCCGCGCAGGCCTGTGGCGTCTGCTGGAGCCGGAGCCTGTTTCTCAACTCAGCTTGTGGCAGAGCGCGTCCCACACAGACTCCCGGGCGCCCAGAGGGCTTGGCGCTTTGCCTCTAGTGGAAGAGGTTAACCTTCCAGCTGGGACGGGGGCGGCGCGCGACCAGGGAGCTTTCATGGGGAGCAGCTCCCACCCAGGCCCGCAGGTCTCTGAATCGCCGTGCCCCGCTCAGGTCAGGAATTCGCCGGGAAGTGCACAGGTCCAAGGGACACCCCAGCCCAGTGAGCAAACAACGTTTGGCCTCTTCGGGGTTCCTCATGGAACCCAGATGCTGTGACTGCAGGGTATTTCCCAAGGACACTGGTTCTCGTCCCTCGCCCACCGTCTCTGCCACCTGGGCTCATCCTGCTAGCAGACGTCACAGGCTGCGTGGCTGTGACTGAGGCAGCGTTGGCCCCTTCAGAGACGTGGGTACTGAGTTTCCGGAGGTCTGGAGGTGCGGGCTGGGGCTAGAGCCGGGGGCCTCAGAGCAGCGCCAGGGGAGGATGGGCAGGGAGGAAGGGCCAGCATTTCCCCAGAGGGTCCCTGGGAGGCTGGTTGGTACCACTTTACCCACCACCAGAGGTTCCCAGCAAGAGGGGCTCAGAGGAGGGGTCCTCCAGTGCCCAGGGAGGGTGACAGGGCCAGCGGTATGTTGGGGGCAGGGGACAGGGGTCCTGGGTGAGCTCTGTGCCTCTCTGAGGCCTGTCCAGCTTTCCAGACACGTGCATCCTGCTGGCCTCCACCTTGCCCCAGTCCGCTGCCATCCCTGGGCCCCATTCCCAGGGTAAGTGCAGGTTACCTGCAGGGCCTGCTCACACGCACACCTGACCCGGCTCACAGAAACACGAGTCGCCACTCACAGGCACACCTGGTCCCGCTCACACGCACACCTGATCTCGCTCACACGCACACCTGATCTCGCTCACAGGTACACCTGATTCCCGCTCACATGCACACCTGTCCTCACTCACACGCACACCTG